GCCCAGCGTTCCGGTGCGGGTCACGGGGAGCCGCAGCCGCCCGGGGCCTGGGACGCAGCCTCCAAGCAGCCCCGACGGAGCTTGGGGCAGCACCAGGCAGCGCCTGGAGCCGCGCAGGCCGTGGGCGGCCGGGCCCCCAGCCGGCTCCCCACCTCGGGAGCGGGCAGCGTTGCTCTCATTCCAGACAAACACGGAGGCTCGAGGCTTACGCCACAGTTTTAACACGCTCCGTGCCTTTGCGGGAGCCGCACGGCGCCGTCACCAGCGGCGGGGCTATGGGGCTGCGCTCGGCCGAGGGCAACGCGCTCAGCTGGCCCGAGGTGCTGCAATGCGGGTGTAGGACCTGGCCACGGCTGTGCAATTGAAATAGGCTCTGCCTTTGCCCCAGATCATCATCTGGGAAGGGGCTATGAGTTTGTCTCCGTTCAGTTTCCTGCGATAACAGAGTAGAAAACAATTCATTTGGACTTACCAGAATACATCTCTTACAGTTGTCCCTATAACGAGGCTCGGCTGTAAGAACACAGAAGGCACATTTCTTATGCTTACTTTCTTATTTCTATTCTCAACCCAACCAGCTGCTGTGCTGCAATGTGCAGATAAATCACCTTATGCCACCCTGAAAACGTGAGCAGCAAGTGACTCCAAATGCTTAGGCTCACACTGGATCTTGGACAAGTCTCCAGATGTCTGCACTGAGGTCAAGGTCTGGGGTCACGTCACTGTTATCGTGATTTATAAGTTACTTATCCTGCAACTAGACTGCAGAGAAGAGATTTTACGCTCTTCATGGGCACCTCCACCAACCCCAACTGATCTGTCCTCCCAGGTTGGGATCCGAAAGCAGAAGGATTCAGCACGGCAGTCTGAACAGTGCCAGAGCTGCAGCAGCTTCTCCGACACCGCAGCCCCATGGAAGGATTAAACATCATTAACCGTATGGGAAGCATGCAAATAATTCCTACTGACCACATTTCCCGTTGAAACTTCCAGTATAAGTAATCAAAACCAACACTGTTTGTCTACCATCAGTTTTGGTCTATGTTCTGTGCAGCAGTAATTTAAGGAGATCGCTTGCTGCGGCTTGTGTCATGCGAAACCTAAGACATATTCCAAAAATTAAGTAATTCTGTGAATGAAACGGTGGTGCTGCTTCCAGCACCAGAGGAAACACCCATTTAGCACCACACTACATGCTGCAAAGCTAAAACAAGCAGCTGCCTCCCAGTCACTGCTGCCAACCAAGTAACTCCATCCAGCAGCTTTGCGGCAACCAAGACTGGCTGGTGTCTTGTCGTTTGGGCTCTCCT